TAACAAAACCATTTTACCCTGATTTCCCATTTTCAATGGGTTCAGGGTATAAAAAGAAAAATAATAATAATTAAATGTTAATAATATTAACTGTAGTAATAATAATGATTAGTGTTGCAGAGTTGATGAACGTGGATCTCAGATTGCAATACTTCTACCAAATACCTGCAATATTTCTACAAAATTTCAATATATTTATAATAATTCTTTAATTGATCATCTTACAGAGCATTTGTAAAAATAAGCATATCCTCAATATATGCTTTTGAAGCAGAATCCAAGAATCTTAAAAGCCCCTTTGGAATATAGAAGAGTGCTTAGGGTTTTCTATGTACCCAATGCAAGATACTGTTATCAGGCGACCGCCCATTGTGCACAGTAGAGTGGGGTATGCCTTGGCATCATTAGAGAGTTGTCTGGATCTAAGCGATATTTTTGGTCGCTTGTCGCAGACGCCGTGAACGAGCACAAATTGCGCATAAAATAACATTTACTTGCTAAAGTTTGAGGCGCTCGTCTAACGGTAATTGCCATAAATATGATCAGCGCAAATTGTTGCTAATAACACACTCGCACACACATTCACATATGCCCACACACACACACGCGCTGGGCTGGGGAACATTTTTGAGTCTGCAGACGTCTGGAGGAAAAATGTAATGTTTGTAATTTCAATTTGGGGAATTTTCTTCATTACTTTCGCCAGGCAGTCGACAGTCGCGAGGCAGCTGCGGCCTTTGGCAGTGCGACAGTGTTTTCGTCGCTTTTCCACAGTTTTCCTCGCTTGGCTTTGAGGCTTTTCAGTCTGTCGACTCGGTTGGACTCTTTAGTCTGACGCTACACGTTTTCAATATTTTCGCCAATTTACTTGGCATTTTTGCGGGCCGGAGCAGAAGGTCCCCTCCTGCTCTTTTGATTTCTTCATTTTTTTCTTTTCATTATTATTTGCGCGATTTTGCACGGCATATACGCGGCATGTGTATGCAAATAAACGAAAAGTGCAGGAAACAAAACACGGAAGCCAACCAGGAAGGAAGGAAGGAAAGAACCTGACGGCGGCACAGCAAATGTTGCTTCCCTGCTCCGCCGCGCCTCGCTCTGCCACGCCCAACTCTGCTCTGACCTGTCCCGTTCCATTCCGTTCCGCCTCGCTCAGCACAGCGGGCGAACTGCAAAAGGCAAATTTAAATTGAAATTGTCTACAGCTGACATGCTGAAATAAGAAACGCACACAGCGCAAAACACTTTGCAACAACATGTCGTATACGTAATCTCTCTCTCTCTCTCTCTCTCTCTCCCTCTCTCTCTCTCTGTCTCTCTCTCTCTTTCTCTCTCTGTGAGATGTGTATTCCCTCTGTGGGCGTGGGTGTATTAAGGCATAAGCCAACACAGCTTTACATGTCGTGAGCTACTTAACGCAATCATAAAGGCAATTCTATCGATTTACAAGCAAATTCTTAATCTAAGTCAAAATTCATTCTACATGCTGATGTGATGATGGCTAAAGTGAATTTAAATGACAGGACAGAATAGTAGATTAAATTTAGCCAAGAACAAATGGAAATAAATTCATAAATTATTTGCTGCTGACAGCGAAAACTAGTTTAAAAAGTTCCGCTTGTCTTTCTGTTTTCATTATATGTTATACTCCTCCTTTAGATTTAGTCAAATCCGTCAACAAATCTATGTGAACCTTGAAATAAATTTATTTGCATTGCCTACATAATTGAGGGTACGTCGAATATGGAACATGGAATCTGATAGGATATAAGTATTCAGTATTCATTATCGACTCAGCCCAGTGCCAGTGTCAAAGACATTTCTTAGGGGGAATATTTGTTCAATTTTAGGTAAATATATAGATAACACACTATAGGTACATGCCCCTCCTGCACAACAACAACGAATTGCGCTTCAAAAACTTAGAAATTTATTCACAGTCATAACATAAGGATAGATAGATATGAAACATATACAACATATAGGAGATATTAAGGGATACACACAGATTCACACACGCTGAGCGTAACTAAGTCTACATTATGATACAACAACAAACTTCCGGCTGGGTGTAGACCGTGGCTGTGGCTAAGCCGGGTGCTGGCGGTCCGTAGTTCTCC